TCTGAGAAAACTGAACAGCTGTTAATTTGCCGGTCGCGGTTTTCCAGATTGGTCCATCTGAACCCTGGAATGTCACATGTGAGCGTCCGGACGCCAATCAGTATACTCCAAGAGGTCTGTGCAAAACGAGGATTATCGCCTGTTTTTGAGCTTGTGTCCAACGAAGGGCAGGTTCATGACCCAATATACGTGTATCAATGTACAGCAGGAAGTATTACTGCTGTCGCCAAAGGTGTGTGTAATTTTGTGCTACCGTTAAACTGCATATACAGTTCGGATGCTAACAAGGTCGTTCGTGAGCGACCGTTTTCGGAGTTATAGCTCGGTCACACATACGTTTTTACACTTTGCTCCATCCAGAATACGATATGCATTATTACTAATGGAATTTTAGTCGAACTCTAACACTTATTGCTACCTGTATCCGAGCCTTCAGGTTTAGCTGTAGCTGTGTCGGGACGGCGTAAAAATGTCCTACTTGTGCATCCTGCAGCTCTTCCACTGCCAACTTTGATGTGTTTTTAGAGTTCACTTTCTTGGCCTCATTGTTCGATAATGAGCGAACGCAACATTATCTTTCCAGACGTGCCTAGTTAATTCCGTAAGAATAATGGTGTTCAGTATGCGTTAAGGTACTGCTGTCTGGTGACGCGTCGAAAGTCTCTTCAAAACTACACCGTTGTTTGACCGGGGGGTGTGGGGAAGGGAGGGGCAGTTGCCTTCTTACTGTCGGCCACGCAGGAGACGTATTTGCATCAAAATTAGTTCACCACTCCGTCTCTCCTACGCCTTTTGCTGTCGGTGGAAGCTTATTCGCTTAGAGTCGTGAAGAAGTTCCTCATCTCAGGACTATATGCGTATCCTTGAATTCCATCTGTCTCGGTAGTCCACCAGTTATTTTGTCTACATCAGTCCTCTTATAACCAAAGCATCCACAAGCACGCGAGCGAGGTAGTACGAATAAAATGTAATAGAACAACGCGAATGGAGAAACACCCCAGAATAGTACTTTATTAATCTTATGATTGACATTTCAGAACCAAAAAGGGAAACAGAACAACAGTCAGTAAGATGGAATTCGGCAAGAACATTGAGTCGCTGTGACAAGTCCTTGTTGTTTTTGCGGGTTTCTTTTGGTTCATGTTGTTGTCGTAGATCCTATGCAATTAATTTTTCTCGGACATCCGTCGTATTTGGTCATCGAGTCGGTTCTGGTATTCTCACTGTGCCGGTGCGAAACTTCAGTAAGGGTGGTGTAACTGACTTTCCGCAATCTACCAAGCTTGCTCGGCGTCTTCCTCCTTCAGGATGTGCAGGTGACTTAAATTAGTCTTCAGTTTGTTGCAGATTTCCCGTGTTCATTCAGCCGGACCCAGTGCGGCAGTGCCATTTTCCCTTAAGGCTGTCTCCGCAGTTGACTTTGTAGCTTCATTTTCGAGAAACCAACTTGGTGGCAGCGTTCAACGTCTCTCTCTGTTTTTGTCTCGACGATCACTCCTAATGAGCACGTAGTGAAGCAGTTGCCATCGATGATCTTGAAATTTTATTTATGCCGTCTTCTTAAGATTGCGAAGCCGAGAGATGGTGTTGGTGATGAGAAACCCATGTTCTGCGCAAGCACCCATCAGAAAGATCTCGTTGACGTTAAAGTGGCGTACTCTTTAACGACCAAACACTTCTTACTTGATTGCGCGGTCTGTGCCTACTCGGGTTTTCAATTCGCTGAAGCAAATCAGTCCCTCTGCCTTTAGAACAGACCCGAGGGTGACTTGCAGACTCTCCTTGTCGTTACTTGTCATGCCGGGATGTGGACGCTTACAATGATAGCGTTGATGTGGCGGCCGTCAATTTCACGAGGGCAACAAGACAGCTTCTTGACGAGGTCGCTTTTTTGTGGCGAAGGCTACTCCAGCATCACGGTCCTCCTCCTTATGACAACCCGCCCGGAAACGTGTGCACAGCTACAAATACCGCCACCAATCCTATTGTTGCTACCGCTTGTGCCTATGGAACAGTTAATGCCAATTGTATTGTTGCTCTGGGTATCAGTACCAGTTTTGCCACGAGTGTCGCTATTATTAATGCTAGTAGAAGTAATGGCACTTCAGTGTAAGTGTAAGGAAGATGTTCTATGCCTGTCCGACATATTCAACTCAGTCAATCAACGATTCAGCTTTCTGACATATTACGTTGAAGTAGTTTGCTGCACAGGAATGCTCAGGCATCTGTGTATTTGGGTCTTCGGATTAGTATTCTTTGTCTCCTTTCGCATTTTTAACGCTTGTGTTCACATACTTTTGGAGAATAGGTCCTGTGAAAATAGTACGTAGGAGTTGTCTTTTTCTTCGTTTGCCAAGCAACTTGGAAATAGACTTTTTTCTCCTTTCGTACCAGAGAATCCCACTTTCTGCCTCAAATTAACTGTCGCACACCTCGGAAAACTAGGTATATAGACTGTCTTTCACCCACAGTGGCTTGCTGCGACCTTTTTTCTCGGAACTCATCGATATCAGCATGCCTATTGTGCTTTCTTGTTGATTAAACCAATCTTGATAATGGATCTTTTAAAGGCTGTAGTAAGAAAAAGGCAAAACACCAGGCCTCCTATTTGGTGCTGCTCCAGCTGCTGGGCGCCAACCCTACAGCTCCACATGAAAAGACTGCCCTTAGGGATCTACGACTCGCCGCTGCTGCAACGCTTGGTTTGGACTACGGGTGCCCGCTAGATGGCGGTGAAGTCGACTTCGCTGTTCGTGCTCCAGCGATCGATCCCAAGGTCAACAGCGTTGGTGAGCTGCAGGAGTACTGCCAGAAGAACATGTGGCCATCCCCGGTCTACGAGTTCAACGAATGTCTTCCCAGTTTGACTGATGGCTACAAGTACCATTGTACAGTGAAACTGTGGAAGTGGAAGTGTTCCGGCTTCGGTGCGTCAAAAAAAGAAGCCAAAAGGAAGGCAGCTGCGGATTTCCTAAAGGCGATAATAGACAATTGCCTGTCCATTCCGGTGGAGGAGTTGGAGGCGATTGAAGAAGATAATTTACCACTGCTTGAAAAGAAGGACTTAAACTCTCTGAAAGACAGACAAAGCAACAACGAGAAAGCAGCAAAGTCCGTTCGCAAGCTGTTATCTGGTGTTTTTACAAGTCGAGGCAAGCTTCCACAACTGAATCTAGAAGGGAAGATCGCCGGAGATACGGACGTTTACAGGACGTTGGATACCATTTTGGAAAAGCACAAACTTACTGTGACCTATTCAATCGTTAAGTTGACAAATTCGGGTAAGCTGTTGTTCTCTTTTGTGTTTGCTGTGTCTATTCCAATTATACATCTGCAAAAAACCATCTTGTCGTTTGATTCGCCATTGTACTGTTTACTATCTCTTCCCAAAAGCCGAAGATAGATCGAAGACCATGCTGTCTTCACTCATCTTTCCGAGTGAAATACTTCTGACTTCTAACCGTTTATGCCCAGTTTATTTTCGGTTTCGTCGAGGACAGATTCTCTTGCCAACTGATGAACCTGCAGCCGCAGGTGACCAAATTCGTAAAGCATCGATCGGGATGTTAAAATATGGCTTCGATTAGAAAGAATTACTTGAATAAGGTTTCAATGTTCATTGGCATGCGACATAACCCCGACGTGTGTTATCCACGCCACGATGTTGGCGTTCGGATGTGCAGCTCGCCATTGACTTTGGACGTCCCTATAAATCCATACACATTTTACGGAAGTTACACCAAATCGCCCCCTTCTTAGCACCTCACTTTTCTAAACCCACTTTTGTACACTTTATAATTAAAAGATATGTTTGGGTTCAAGACCCTACTTGCCGCTGCACTTATGTTTAGGGTTACCAAATTGCACGCTGTTCACTTTCCACCTGAGTAAAATTGCACATTCATGTTTTCTGTTAGAAAGGTGCCCTCGAGCGATCGTAAAATTTCGGTAAGTGCTAAGTATATGCGCGGGATAAGGCAAAGCTAGCGAACTGCCCACCATATTTTTAAAAGTAGGTGTTGTTCGGCAGTCTCTGATCGGCTCTTCGTCGGCAGGATGACATTCGCTGACCAGTATCATCCTGAGGAGTCTGTGCTGTTCAAATGTTTACACTAGTTTATTGTCTTGCACCTCACACACGTAGTTCTTTAGTAAGAGGAAAGCCAATTTTAGAAAAAAAGTTTGGCACGGAGATCAGTCAGGCAGTAAAATAACAGTCGAAATATTGTTGAATGGGATGCATACATCTGTTACTTAATCAGGAATGTTAAACCGCTGGAGAATTTGTTAAACATCAGTTAGCATCTTCCTACTCCACGCATATACTTAATTCTTGCCAAATTTTTTACGGCGGATGTGGGTCACGTTTATACTAAAGAAGAAGCAGTGTCCAGGTACGATGCCATTTGAATAAACATTTCACGGCCTTAAAATTCTGCCCAGTAACAAACTTCCTGAGCCAAAAGATGCCATCTCCCAAAGTAGAATATTTAGTGATGACGTCAGCCGTTGCGGGTAATCGATCCAGAGACCTTGAAAAGAAATAGGAGTATCTAGGACAGCATGGGAATTGTGGCTGCGGAGTTAGGTGTTGGAATTGCACACCGCCCCAAAGCCACCATGCACAATAGGGTCATGAAAATCAAAGACCGGTTAAGACCTGATGAGCAATCTGGAGTAGTGTATCGCATTCCCTGTCAAAATTGTCCTTGTAACTACACAGAACAGACTGGGCGCGTGCTCGGGTCGCGCATACACGAACATAAGCTGGCTGTGCGACGAGGCGACGCGCTATCACAAGTGGCCGCTCACATCTACGAAATGGGTCACGAGTTTGACTTCGCAGCCACCAAAATAGTCGCTCACGCCGGGAGCAAAACAGGCCGAGGATTGATTGAAGCCTGGGCCTCGGATGATAACCATGTCAATCGGTTTATCGATCTGGCGCCGGCGTACAGAGCCCTGCGTAGTCACCGCCGGTCTTGCGCCTGCGGTCGACGATTGGCATGCATGCCTTATAACTGTCGCTTGTTCTGCTGCTGCTGCTGCTACCTCTGACGATGGACTCCTGTACGAGTCTGAAAGCTCAGGACAATAAACGAAGTGTTCCGGTGCTCGACTCTTCTTCTTCATTTATGCATGCATCTGGAACTCGAAATTTCGCCTTCATTCGTGGATTACATCAAATTCAAAATTACGATGTTTCAAGAAATTTCATATACTTTGTCCGCCAGAAGGACCCTGTGAGCCAGTACAGCTACCTTAACATACACCAGACAGAGTTAAACGATACGTTTTGACCAGACACCTAGAACAGGCCCATAATATAAGGCATCATTGTCAACTTTAGTATGTGGAGACGGTTAGGAGACAAAGTCACCACTGATCTGGATATAAAAGTACAAATAAGACTGAGTTACTATTAAGGCAGTTAAGACTTGCGCAGAAGTACAAAGTAGTTCACCACTTTTTTTATTTTTCCCGGCCAAATGCGGGAGGGATTGCTAAAATGGTACTAACATGCTGCAGCTGCTTCACTTGCCCTATTGCATTAGTCCCCAGTGTGTTCTAAATTTGACTATTATGTTTTGTGTTCACTTAATTCTCACATTTGTTTTGCGTCAAATCAATTTACGGTGACATCTACGGCTGCTCTAGCTGTCAATCGCGACTACAAAACATTAGTTGGTAGGATTGATTAGCAAGTGCAAGTTTTACAATTGGTTCGCCTTTTGGAATTTTAGGAAAGGTTTACTGTCAGGCACAATTGTCGACCATTCCCCCCCAAGTCGTCGCCAGCCGTCCTTCTGCTACAGCTGAAGAAGCCCGCATGGACGCAGCCTACCGGTGTATCATCTATTTAAACATTATGACAATGCCTGCGCCGCTTTTTAATGACGCCTGGTTTCGTAAATGGCCTTTGGAAGTTGGAAAATGTTGACCTCCGTCCTCGGGATGGCTTTCTTGTACTCCTTCCATCTTTGTTTTTTACATACAAGATCTATGTGCCTCTCATCTATTCTTCGGAACTTATATATGGTAGAGAGGGCGCCCACCAATCATTCGTCCTGTTGTGTCTTGAGACTGTCTCTCGTGCCTCACCAGCAGCCGCACAGCGACGTGTATGGTTGGCTGACGACGGCTAATAAGCCAGAAATGACCGCTGCAGTCAGTAATGCAATTCTGCCTATATTACATGCTGCTGCGTGGCTGATAGCGGGACTCGAGACAGAGCCCCAGGGCACAAGATGACGAGTGAGCTCTGTAGCGCGATCGGTGAGCGCCCCCTCCACCATTGTATACACACGTTCACAATCGACAGGACACGAGTCCGTGACTCTGGTTAGGGTGTTAAACGTCTAACCAATGAGTCGCCGGGTCGAGCCCCAGGCGTTGCACACCTCAAGGTTGGATACGACTGGTTGACGACGATTAATAAGCCATAAACGGCCATTCCAGTCTCCATTGTCTTTGTCAACACTGCCATTCTGCATACGTACAATTATAGGCGTTGAACTTCTAATTATCAAGTCGCGAGTTCGAGCCACAGGTGTTCCACACCTCGGGGTTGGGGATGACTGGCTGGCGACGGCTAATAAGTCAGAAATGGCCATCCCAGTTTCCCTTGTCTTTGTCGGTAATACCACTTTGCCCAAATCCTGCGCCGTTGTGCGGCTGCATGTCAGGCTCGAGATAGCCCGCAAGGCCCAACGGGACGAGTGAGTTCCGTAGAAACGCTCGGTGAGCGCCCCTATGCCATTATATATACATATATCGGGAGATGGGCATCCCAAAAATATAATTGGAGGAAAAAAGAGCCCTTTGGGAAATCGGACAAAACTTCTTTCGTAAATTTTTGATCTTGCTTTCCCTCGCCGCCGTCATACGTGTAGAAAGCGTGAAAATAGTTAAGGTTTAAACATGCCGGAAAAATCCGTATTGCTTTGTCAGTGCTGTCAACGGGTCGATGCTGTGACCTGAAGTCACGTTTTGGCTGGTTGTCACCTTTTCCATTTTCTTTAAGATCTGTGTACATAGAGTCCGGATCGATGTGTCAATTCATGCATGAATCAGAGTGAATGGCCTCCAGAAATTCTCCGGCTTATGTAGACAGAAACCAATAATGCCCGTTTTATTCCAAGCAAGTATGTGCCCAGTTTCTGCTGTATGCACGGCGACTTATAATAAGTGGTTTCGCCTCTTTTCTGCCAATTTGTGTTCGTGCGGGCGTGTTGAGACGGATTTTCCAGTTTGAGCGCAACATACTGCACTGCAGTTGCCATATAGAATCTTGTAGAGGACTTCTTTAAATATCCAACCCAATATTTAGGATTTACAAGCTAGTTGCATAGTGTAGTCGTCGGTCTCTGCGCCACTTGTATTTGGTGGTTCATCAGATGTCCTTCAACGAGTTCGGGCGAATTTTTAATTGAAGAA